AGTAGTAGGTACCTAGTAGCACCTATAACGAAGTTAAAAGAAAAACTATTCAGTAGAGAAAAACAGTTAAGTAGCTTTACAAGTTTACGAGTAATAGTCGACCAACTTATAAAATGTACTTGGAGAAGTAAAAAAAGTTGTTAGTTGTGTAGAACCGGTAGTAAAATAAGTTTATGAACCATGTAAAAATATACAAAAATAAAATCATAAAATTTTTACTAATACCCTCTTCTTATTCCGCATTATTTTGATGGGCGACTAACTACGGAACCATACATTGAGCGCGTGCGTGTATTATATATTATTACAATTATTAATTTGTTTTTTACTTCACATACCGGTTGATATGATTATATGACACATTTCAATAGCCGCTTATTTGCTATAATAACTATATATTACAATCTCTTTCTATACTTGGTCGCTTAATAACATGACTGCTATTAAATAGAGTCCGTGTACTTTTTTTCTATTTAGTACTAATATTATGTATTTAAATATGTTTAAGTATAAAATTTACCTGTTTTCATTTATAACGAACATTTATTTACTTAATGTTTAATTTGGAAGTAATAAATCCACTATAGAGATTCATTTTTAGCTTAAAATAATTTTGTTATATTTAATGGTGAAAGCCATTACCAAACTCACATTACATTATCATAATGATAATATAAATTTTTACTACAATATTATTGAATTGCAAAACTAAAATAAAATAAATATAGTACGACGACTTTACTCTATGTAGGTTTTATTCTGGCTGACTCCAGTAAGCGATTGTTTTTGGAAGACAAAAAATACGTGACAACACGCCTTTCTTTTACACACGAATTTTAAACACAACCCGGACTTATAATTTTTGACTTTTATTCTTTGGTTTGACTTAGCGCCACCTACAATTCAATTACTTGTTAATGCATAAAAATAGAGTATGGGCTGATCAATACTAATAATACTTCAAATTAACCACTCTTTAGAAAGAGAGAAAGCGAACGAGCGCCCTGTACCTGTTATTTATTCCAATTAAAATTATAAGTGGAATGTAAAAAAATATATAATATTATTAAAAAATATAGTATTCATAATATAGTAATTCAAAATAATTCAAAAATATAGTAAGGCACAAGCAAATCTATCTCACGGGAACCGTCCATTTCTCCGGGATACAAAGTAACCTGTTGTTTGACCGGTAATATAAGTAATACATGAGTTGTTGTACAAACAGACGTACAGGCAATCAGACAAATGGACAAACAGACAAAAAAATTAATAACTATTGTTTTGGGGTACACAATACGTTACCTACAAATAAACAAAAACAAATCTATCCCACGAGAGCCGTACATTTTTCCGGGATAAAAAGTAGCCTATTTGTTATTGTGATGTATTAACTATACGAGTATTACATATTGTAAAGTTTAATTAAAATCCAATCAGTAGTTTTTGTGTACTAAGCTGTATAAGTTACTATAGTTTTTTAACTATCCCACGGGAACTATTTAATTTTCCGGGATGGAAAGTATCTAAGATTTTGACCGGGTATAAAAGGTACCACCATGCAACATTTCATTTAAATCAGCCTAATACTTTCGGAGATTACTTCGTACAAACAGACAAACAGACAGATAGAGAAACAAAAAATTTGAGAAAAATCTGGATTTGTTCTAGTTCTCTTCTGACACCCCATGACCCGGTTTTTAGCATTTTTTTTCTATGTACAGACGTTCGACCTCTAAAGTTTTATTATGGTACAGATAATGGAAAGTAAAATACTTATAAATATCTATCTTCATTTATCGTATTTCAATTAATACTTCTGGCCGCTAATTCGTTTTGTTTCTGTCGCTTTTCCGCCATTTTCAGCTGACGGCTGGCAAAGAAACATTCAGTCCACTCTTATATCTGTGTGTTAATGGCTTCAAAGCGTGCCTGTTGAGCACAAACGTCACTTACAACACCACTTTTTGAAAATATATTTTTAGGAGCTGTTTATGTAGGATCCGGGGATACTAATAAAAGCGTTTATATCACTATTAACTATTTATTATATTAAAAATTATAACTAACAATGTTCACGCGAATCGTCGTGTCGCCATTATGACACAACATCCTTCTTTTCTTTTATTCATCTATTTCATTCCATTCCATTCTTAAAATTCTTACATACCTCCTCTTTTATTCTTAAATTTTATTCCATGCACACTCATCTCGCAAATCCTACATTTATTATATGTTTAGGTAAAAATATATGTTATTTTTTAGTTATATTTGGCACTGCCCTTTTATTACTACGCAATAATATTATAATTTGTAAACGAAAATTTTAATTATATAAATATAGGGAAATAAGAGATAACGAAGAGAAGAAGAAATTATATACTACATACTCAAAATTCTATTTCCGCGCCAACATATTATTTTATTAGTTTATATTTAAATGCGCATGGCGGCATTTTTCTTTAAAGTAACATAAGAGTATTCATTTTCATTTTACATGTTACTATTTGGGATTGAATTTTCTTATCAGATAAGAGTTCAGTATTTTGAGAAGGATGGAGATATATACAAGATACATAATTAAATTCTTGACACGCAAATGTCAAACTGATATATTAGGTACATTTCATTTTCATTAACAATAAAAGTAAGGCACCTTAGAAGCTATCTATTAAAATAGTTTTGGATTATATTATTTGTTCTTCTATTAATTATGCTACACACTACTACCGCATTAATTTGTATTAATAAAAAAGTTAGTTCTGCATGTTCATAAATTTAGATATTCAACAATAAAAAAACTTCTTCAACGAGTTCGTGAAGTAGGTATAGCAAAATCCTGCAACATCGTCCGTGTGAATTGAAATCATGGTTTGAATAAACTTAAATTGCCTAAATCATATGAATTTTAATAGTTTCAGTACATTAGCATTTTTTTAAAAACTTATAATAATATAATAAATAATAATTAGTAACGATTACTATGAGAGAATGTCTACGAATCATAACGTAGTTTATAGAAAATAATCTAACCGATTTATAATTTTTAACACGAAATCTGTCCAAAAATGTCATCTAACGCTTTAAAGCTATCTATACCTAGTATATCGAAATTCATTAATGTTGATTAATTGGTCTGACGATGAAAACGTGATAAAAATAACCTAGAGACAAGAAGACACATTGTCATGACGTCAATATTAGGCATGACGTGACGCCTCAAAGTTATATTTACCGTTTCCAAATAGCTTAAAGTTCTGAATAGGACGATCTATTATTTCCAGACCTTCCATATGACCTGACCGACATACTTATTGATTCAAGCACAAATAGTTTACTTACTGGACAAAAATCTCGACACACTATTCCCGGACTAACACTTGTAAGATCGCTTAAGATAGGTTTTGTCGAAATTCGAAAATAATCGTAAAATCGCAAAATTTCCAAATGAGTATAAATCTTCTTCAACACAATAAATTATTTTCAATATTTTCGAGAAAAAAAGCAAAGGCGAAGCTATGGCGACTCGCTAATCATACTGACAATGAGTCAAGATGTCTAAGTTCTTAGTTTCCAGCCACCGAACAGCGCTAGATATCTTTCTTTGTTTTCATTCGGCAGATACCTATGAAAGTTACCAGTATTCATTATTAAGTCGCCTTTTATCTTTCTTTGTCCTTTTAATAATGACCTCGGGCAGACCTGAATGTGTCTAACGGCTAAGATAATAGTTACCTATTTTTATTTTTACATAAGAAAATGTGGTTTTCTTCACATATTCTATCCGTCTAACTAGGACTTTGTCTAAATTCGAAGGGAAGCTTCAAGCTTGGTTAGCATTACTTTCAACTAGAGAGAACCGAAACGATCCTGTGAAAACATACATATTGAAGTTATTACCGTTATACAAATTGAAGTTATTTACTTATTATTTTATGTTTCAGATTTACCACGTCACAAAAAATTTACTTGGCTTCGCCTGTTTCTCATGTGTTACGAGAGTACGCGGTAACGCGTTTCTACAATAATTAGCTATGATTAGGTATTCTAAGCGTCTTGAAGTTACTTTAACGTATGCCTAATATACTTATTCCCTCTAAATTTAAAATGGAAAGATCCCTCAGGGAATATTATTTTATTGTAACACGTATGTGAAACTCTTTTTAATATTTGTACCTATATGATTCATTTTTAATTCACTGATAAAAAATACAAAATTACTTTCAATTAATTCACCGAAAAATAAATTATGACTTTCTAGATATTCAGATGCTGCTTAGTATATGACATTAATTGCTTAAATAGCCTTTCCTTAAGAAAATATTGTTATCTTAAGATCACAATCGACTAATTTGTCTATTGAGCCGAAATAAAATATATTAGTCTACAAAAAATATAAATATTTTCCAATAAAGGTGCTATAATTATTAGAAATATTTCGTTTTTACTAATATTTTATATTCCATAGTCACTTTATGTTTTAAATTTATATTACCTACATTTGCTCTGTGTGCTCTTTTTTAATGAAAACATTTTAATTATCGTGGTTTTATTTATTTATTTATATAGTCATGTAATAATTAAAATAACGCGGTTGTCTCACGGTATAAGGTGTTTTATTGCTGTAATTATAATTGTACTAAATGTTTGACCCATAAACATTGTATAGAAGGCCAATGTAATTAATTAAGCGCATTGCTGATGTTTTCGCTGTAGCCACTTAACCAACGGATGTTGTTAAATGTAACAATAATATTTATAAAGCAATTTTTATGTTCGCTAAGCAAGTATATACAATCGCAATAGCTTTTAACGAATAAATTAAAAGTTAGTTGAGTTAATCTTGTTTAAACTTTCATTCGAGGCTAAATAATTAGTACCTATTGGGTTTTGAAGCGTATCTAAATAAACATATCGTAAGGCTTCACGCATTCGTCGGTCAAAGGATAACCTCACGAACAACATTAGTTGCATATGAAAAGTAAAGCAGAGCCTGCCTAAATGAGAAATATGAGATATATCAAGAGCAAGGCCGGCCAGATGGCGTCCGTCCTTGGCAAGGACGTATGTGACTCACCGAGCGGCTGATGAATATTTGTATGAGCATCGCAGTCTGCACACACGGTAGAGCGTAACATCCTCTCCCTTTGAAGTTTTCGAAGCAGTTGCAAATGTTGCGGCGTGAACACCGTGCCCGAGCGCTCTCCCACCAAAACCACGTCTCCAGCATCCCACCATGCTTGCTCTCGCAACGTTCCATCCCGGTTAAAAAGCCCCATATCTTTGTACCCTTCCGGCGGGCTAAGGGCACCGGGCTCCGGCTCCTGGAACCGCTCGCAAGCCCCGCATCCCGAGCACTCCTCGGTTTCTCCCTCATCAGAATACCCGCACTCATCTCGAACTACAATAATATAATCGGCCTCGAAAAATTCATTAGCGCTCTCGTCGAAGACTACCCTGTTTTTTTTAGTCTTTGCTCCTTTTTTGAGCGACGACTTTAAGTTTTCATGATCCTTGTTGTGTCGCGTGTCACGACCGGCGCGATCACCGCGCATCGTCGCGTGTTTTCACGGCGTGTGCGGTCGCCAGAGTGGCAAGTGTGGGACGAGCGACGACGGGCGACGGCAACGGCTGGCGTACTGAGGAGCGACTGCGGCGCCGCGCCCGCCTATCGATCGGAGCGACCGCCTCATCGGCATAGCGGCTTCAATTCCATCGCAATCGTCACCACGCTGTAATCGACTCGTCAACGACTGACGACAAAATACAATCATCTTTTGTACCTACGAAAACTACTCAATCTATTATTTTAACATATTTTCATTTTTTTTTCAAATCGTTTCTAATAAATTATTTGGATACTTTCTGCGTCTCACATAAACCTAATAATAACGTTCAGAAATCTTTATTTGTATTAATATTCTTATTAGATGTGTAAACATTCAGCAATCGAATCGGAATTCTAGTAAACGAAAAGAACACTTTATCCAAAAAAAAATCCCGTTCACTCTATCTACGTCGCCCAGAAATATTTCAGCCTTATGCGAGTAGGTACCTAGACCTACGTAATCCGAGTCAGTTGTTATAGCGGTTTTATTACTCACAAAGCGCTTTTATTGTAGTTGTATTATAAAATTGATGGTGTGAAGATAATTCTAAAATTTTTTTAAGAAGTTTAAAGTACCTCTCGATTATGAGTAATCAGTAGAAGGTAAAAATAAAAATCTTTTTTTGTAATACATATTTATATTATACTAGCAGTACCCCGCGGCTTCGCCCGCGTCCAAACTTCCGATCGCTAACAAAATTCACAGGATCACCCGCTGGGTTAATCTTAAGATTACATGAAAATTTCACCAAAATCGTTCCAGCTGTTTTGGAGTCCATAGGAAACATACATACTAACAGCGATTTTTATTTTATTTAATCAACAATTTAAATTTATTTATTGCTCGGAAAATGGAGTCTTTTATGAAAATTTAGTGACACACCGACTGCAGCGCCACCGACTGGATCCATTTGTGAATTCAAACCTTGCAGGAACCTATTGAAATGTACACACATTTTTTTTTCCAAATCGGTCCAGTCCGTTAGAAAGAGTAGGTTAACAAACACACATACAGAAGAATTATAATATATATAAGATATACTTTTGTAATACATATTACATTATACTAGCAGAACCCGCGGCATCTCTCGCGCTAACTCTCTACAAAAAAACTCTAAAAAAGGTAAGCTTCATACAAACTTTCATGACCTATTTTACCTCTTTATGAGATGAATTTCGAAAAATGCTAAAATACGTAATCATTTAATTGTATTGAAGAGCATTAATACCAAGTTTCAAGTAATTCTGATCATAAATATTTTTTTCGGTTGTGTTATAACGTGTTTTCCTGTGGGAAGTAGATGATCTTCCGCGGTAAAAAGTAGCCTCTGTCACTCTCCAGCCCTCCAACTATCTTCACGTAAAAAATCACGCCAATCCATCATTCCGTTTCCACGTGAAAGAAGGACAAACAAACAAACAAACAAACAAACAAACAAACAAACAAACTTTCACATTTACACATAATATTAGTATTGATGTATTATGTTCTTTTCTATAGTTTCTGTATCAATAGTTCATTTGCGTATATTATCATCTATAGGGTCCTGATTTTGTGCACATATATTGCTGTATACTTTTTGTAATAATATACTACATAAAAACTACTACTATATGTACAGAATGAAAATAAAAATGCACTCGTCAACACGCTTTAAATGAGCCAAAACTCAAAGGTTTTACTAATAGTCATTGAAGAGTTCCACTATCCTTTCTGTTTTCCAAACACCACCAAGGTCACACAAGTAGATTAAAAGTGACTAAGTAAAAATCAATAAAAGTGTATTGAAAGTATTGAAACCGCGATACTACAAATTATTTAATTTAAAATACTTATACACAAGGATAACAAATTTGAAAAAAAAACTAGGTAAATAAAAATTTGTTTACCCGTTTGGGAGCTACGATGCCACAGAAAGACAGAGATACACACATTAAACTTATAACTCCCCCTCTTTGCGTCGGAGGTGAAAAATGGAAATCAAGATTATAATATTTATACATATATCGTTTCTCAAAATTGTTTCCTAAAAGAAGAAATTTGTAGCAAAGACTGTAGATAATAATAATCATTTAATCTAGCACTATTCCTATACCTAACTATCCACACCTATTTGATATTACATAACGTTTGTGTACCTTGCCTCTAGTGTCTATTGACAGTAGAGCTGCGCTACGATCCGATTGAATGTCGACTAGATTAAATATAAAAAATATGTTATCAAAATAGTAAAATAACTTTTTCTAAATTAAATCAATGAAACAAACAAAATAGTATGAAACCTTGTATAATACACAGATGATTGATTATAATCAATCATCTATATATTATACAAGGATTATATAGGTACTATTTACATATATTATATTTTACATTAATTACTTATTAGAAAAGTGTAGTTAGGTGTAGGTACTTACTTAAATAGTTTTTATAATATTAACATCTGCAAAAGCATTTTATTTCTCTAATATTTGTTTAACTTGAGCCAATTGTAATTGAACATAATGCAAGAGTTAAATGATTACTACACATAATATATTAGCCCTTTTTGACGTCCCACTGCTGGGCACGGGCCTCCCTTCAATACGAGGGGGGATCAGGCCATAGTCCACCACGCTGGCCAAGTGCGGGTTGACGGAAATCAAATGTCTTTCGAAAAATTGCTAGGTTTTCTCAAACATGCAGGTTTCCTCAAGATGTTTTCCTTCACCGTAAGACAAGTGATAATTATGTTGAAAATGATTATGCATAATAAGTATATTATTTTGACATAAATTAACAGCGTCTCGTTTGAACTAAGGGAATAAGATAGACGCAGCGGACAAAAGCGAAAAAATTAAACCGAAGAAAACTGTCATTTTCAGAAAGAAAATCTAATTTAATTTTAATATTTGACTATTAATTATCATCATAAAAGATTTACTTTTCTAACGAGGTTTTATAATTAAAAACAGTAAAACTGTTTTTTACTGCATTTATGACGAATGCAGTCAAAGAAATGGTATTATAAACTAATCATTATAATACCATTTCAGGCTTTAATCGCTATTTTCGGCACGCTCCGGCTCTTATTCTTTTAACCTAAGGTGTCTTGCTTTGCTTGATAATAAAAAAAATTCTTATACCACATACACTACACGTAAATAAATAGGTATAACTTTGGTCCTATTTTTTTTAAATATAGCGACTAATTCGTAAATGAAATAAGTGACTGTAGATACCACTACGGAAAGCGAGAGGTCGATAAAGTAAACTTCGATTTGTTGACATTCTGGAGTAGGTATTAATTTGCACAACACGTTAGGTAATTTATATGTTTTTGATAAATCTCCATATATTACATACATAAGAAAAAGTTATTCTAAATCTAAACTTTTATTTGTAAAACTTTATAGTTTCCTCTTAGTATTTCTCAGATACTGACCTCAAGCTTTGTACTCCTTTAGCTAGATTAACTTTAAATGTCAGCTGGTTTCATGCTTTGCGTATCACTCTTGTATATTTTACAAATAAGAATTTATGGTTCGCTTCTATTTTCTATCATGACATATATTAACCTATAATATTTGGAAACGGAAGTAAATATGTTACTTCAAAAATGTTAGTTGGGGTGTGCAAATTTTTGTATGTCTACATATTTATTTATTCGGGGCTAATCTACCGAACTATTATTTGGAGCTTTACAAGTTGGTAACAAATCACCTCTTGGGACACATTAGAGGTGGAATACAACAAGGTAATAAAAGATTTTTGTGTGCCTAAATGTTAAGTAATTCCTGTTTGTCTAGGAATTGGTTACTGCTAGAATAAGAAATTAAAAAACCAATTGCTACGAAGAGTACACGTAAAAAAATAACTTTAAAATTTCGTTATATTGGTTTCAATTTAATTAGTTTATCGATAGGTCCCTCCTTTACTTTAATTACATACTTAAATTATCAGCTTACTAATAAATAAAGTTAAAAACTAAAAAAGTATTTTATTTTAATAAAGTTTTTTGGAAATACGTATTTTGCATTTAGTATTTTATATACAAAATGAAAAACTATTTTGTACTTATTTGAAATATAAAATATAAAAAGTATTTGCATTTTGTATTTTAATACAAAATACATTTTATGAAATATTTTGCACATCTCTGTTTGTAACAACCACATTCTAGCTAGTTAGTTATGGTTACACCTCGTCCATCCGCTCTAGATTAAGATTTACTTAAAATAAGAGAAACGCAAACTCAGCGTCTCGTCGGCCCACCCGGCACCCGCCGGTCGAGTATGTATTTAGACATTAAAGAAGCCTCAAATCGGCTACATGTCTCGCATTTAGTTTTTTTTTTCTTAATTTAATTTTAAGTTAGTATAAATAGTTTTCGAAACGCTCCGAAACCAAAAGTAGTTTCTTGATTTGTCCCACTGTCTCATAATTAGTTGTTTGAAACGTCAACGCCTGCGCCTTTGTTGCTGCGCTCTAGCACCGTGGCGTGACCCCATGCGACCAATTACGTAACTTTTTTTGTTGAACGTAAGTTTTATTTATTTAATTGTTTTTATGCTATATTTTAATGTGTTCTGTTATAAATAGTATTTATTTTGATTATTCTTAATAAACATTGCAAAAATATTTAGTCCTACAAAAGAGAAAATGACTAGTATCTAAAGCAAAAATTTGATGTAGAAAAAGTTATTGGTGGTTCTGGCCTAGAAGAAGGAGTTGTCTGTGGTCCATACTTATATATATAAAAAAACTGGTCGAATGTCTGTACATAGAAAAAAATGCGAGTCAGGGGGGTGTAAGAAGATAAATAGAACAAATCCAGATTTTTTTTCAATTTTTTTCTTTCTTTATCTGTTTGTCTGTTAGTACGGGCTAATCTCCAAAACTCTTGGACCGATTTAAATGAAATTTTGCATGGTGGTACCTTATATCCCTGGTCAACATTTTAGATACTTTTCATTCTGGAATTAAAGAGTTCCCGTGGGATAGTTAAAAAATCTATAGTAACTTATACAGCGTAGTACACAAAAACTACTGATTGGATTTTAATGAAACTTTACAATGATATAGATCATACATCGAATAACAAATAGGCTACTTTTTATCCGGAAAAATGTACGGTTCCCGTGTAATAGATTTGTTTTTGGTCGTCTAGAGGCGAACCCGAGCGAAGCGAAGTTGAGCCGCTAGTAGATATATAATGTAGCTACAGGTAATGCACAAAATATAAAAATTAAAACATATTATAATGCTGCTAAATAGACTGCAGGAATAGACTGCAATGGCCCATCTCTGTGCTAATTATATTATACCGGCAGAAGAACCAAAAGATGGCCGTTAGCTGTACATATTTTTATCTATTGATTGTGTGCTGCTTATACACATTAGTGGTACATGAGACAAATACAAAGTTTTTCTTATATATGACGCATGTTTTAAAAAATAAAGCTATAGATGTAGTTGTAGAACTTTAAAAATGTCGTAGTGGGTAACGAGCAGTCCCTAAGACAAATAAAATCGACTACTTATAAGATGATACACAGACAAAAAATGTTGCCCAGTGGTCGGCAAAAAGTAACCTCTGTTCGTCATGTCATAGAGCGAAAAAAAGTAATATAAATATGCACTAAGTGTTCAAAATTTATATGCACCCGAAAGTGCAGCATTTATTGCACTAAAAGCACAAAAGATGGATCATCTAATCTATCGAAATATTCGCTTTTCCTTCATTAACCGTATTTCAGTCGTATATTGGAGGCTTTTTATTAGAGGTAAATTTTATACTTGTTTTTACTGATATTTTAGAAAAAAGGCGGCTTTTTATTCAAATATCTATTTCTTTTGATTTCAATTAATGACAAACATATCTCAAAAATATAAAAAAAAATTAAAAAATATCTCATTTCTGAGAAAAAATACAAAAACTGCAATGTAAAAGTATACTTATATGTAAAACCTAAGAATTTGGTTTTTGGTCACCTGAAAGCGGGCGGAGCCGCGGGCATAGCTAGTAATATATATGTATGTATATATGTATATATATATATATATTGTCCGGTTTTTGATAAATAAAATTTAAAGACCATTTACAGTTATTTTACCTCTGAAAGATATTATTATATGTTTCCTTTATGTTGGCGTTACTGTCGAGTCGTCCAATGAAGCTCTTACCGTTTTTCTTTAATATTTTTATATTTAATCCGTTAACATGCTGAAAAGGATTGAAAGTAGCGAAAGTAATATTGTATAAGTAATCATTTTATGCTTGATTTTTGCGAAAGAGAAAAAGACAATAATGTTCCTTTAATTCCATTTAGAAATGTTCGTACTTCGTCAACGAGCTATGGCCCATTCTAGATATGTGAAACAGGGTTACCTATCTTTTACATTTTACCCAATTTTACTGGAAATGAAGAATGTCAATGGGTCTGATAAATGACTTGAAACTAAATTACTATGTAGCCTAAATGTTTAGAAATACATCTGTTTGTTTCATTTAAATCAAACAAGTAGTTTTGAAGTTTTTTTCCGCCCCTTTCAATTATTTCGCGTGAGCGCGCCATGTAGCGTGACTTCACAACTCAACGCAGCGTTCTCACCGTTTACCTCCTCATTCATTACTTTGCTATCGAAGGTTCCCTATGTTCTCTATGTACTTAATTTCCATGTCCTTTCTATTTATGCTTTTAATAAATATAGTTTGGTTAATTAATAGAAAAATTATTATCAATTAGTTAAGTGGCCTTGAGTGGTTCTAATTTGAATACATAAATAAATAAAATAAACAAGGGGCCGAGGTATCCTCTATTTTGTAGTAACTACTTCTTACTTTTCCTTCAGAAGAGAACGATAAGGTACAAAAGAAGGTAAATACATGGAAACATTATTGGGAAGAAAAAGCGGTCTACATATATCCATATCTAGGCTATCGAATAAGGTTTTTTCTTGTTTCAGGTATATCTGAAGAAACCGTCAGCACTATTATCAAAGAAAGTTGCTGCTTCCACATCTCAAAAAAATTCCACGAGAAGAAAAAACGCATGCAAAAAAAGAAAATTATTCTAGATTATTTTGATTTGTGTCATGGATCATGCTTATTCAAAATAAATATTTTAATTACTATTCAAATTGCAGTTTATAATTTATAATTAATATATCACACTGATGTAATTATGATCAAAAATTTAATTTTTTATATCAAATAGAACAAAATTTAAACTTTATTATTCTAATTTTGGTGCAACCTGATTTCATATAGAGATAAATTTAAATACGTTTAGCCGTCCTGATAACAAAAGATTTTATTACAAACATTACTTTCAAATATATCAAATATGATAATAATAATTATCGTGTAAGATAAAAACTTAAAAAAAATATATAAACCGACTTCCAGGGAACTAAAATGTAAAAAATAACTAATCGGAGGTTTTCATTTAGAATAGATACCTAATCAGATATTTTCGAAGTCGGTGCTAGCCGATCCAAAGCAAATCTAATATATTTCGATACGTAAAATACATATTTACCGATTAGATATTCATATCTTAAAATATTGTCGGCTGGCACCGACTTCGAAAATATCTGATTAGGTATCTATTCTAAATGAAATACCTCCGTTTAGTTATTTTTTACATTTTAGTGCCCTGGAAGTCGGGTTTTAATTTTTTTTTTAAGTTTTAATTTTTCCACTTTTAGTATTAACGTAATAAGCAGGTAATTTGTAAGAAGAAAGTTTTTTAATAACATATTCGATTAAACAATTTATTTAAAAAATATATTTATTGTTGATTTTTTTAAAAACATCTCGACAGATTTCGATAAAATTTATATGGGACCACATGGGAAGTATAGGTACACTTTGAAACAAAAAAAAAATCCAAATCGGTTCAGGCGTCTTCGAGTAATCAGTGTACATACAAAAAAAAGATTCCGACGAATTCAGAACCTCCTCCTCTTTTTGGGAAGTTGGTTAAAAAATTAGAGAATTATTATTAGCAATACCGTAAATTTTACATTTCGTATATGGGAGTTGTGAAAACTAAATATAGCAACATAACGCTCAGTTTAGCCAACCTAACAGCTAGAGGTAAAATAACTGTGAACTATGGAGGCCCGGAGGATAGAAGTAAGGAAGACCGTCTTGTATGGGGATTAGTTGAAAAAGTGTCCACTTGGAAACAGCGAGTTATTGTTCGGGCTCTCGCCGAAATAGCGCTAGTGTAGGAAATGGAAATGATATGAATTTAGCAGTTATAAACAAAGTGAAGTGTGCTGAGTTAAAAATTACTCGTTACATTTTTTTTTGATTTCGGTTATTATTTAATAGTATAATTTATTTGCTATTTACAAATAATTGGGGTACTTAAAAATACTGTATAATTTTATTCCATATTCATGTTTGTCTGTATATTATAATAATTAAAAAAAATGCGCTGTAACAAAGCGGAAATTTATCTTTCCTTTTTTAATTTAGTATCCTACCTAATAATTTGTGGCAGTCCTTTTAAAATTCTTCCACTTGCTACTACAGCGCCACCTTAATTTGCTCCCTTTCAACGGACACTTTTTAATACACTGAGATGGTCTTCCTTACTTCTACGCTCCATACTGTGAACGCACTTCCTTATTTTACTAATCGAATGATTAAAAAAATGTCAAAGTCAAAGTGTTTAAAAATATAAACATTTCTTAAACAGTGCAGACGTAAAAAATATAATGTTAACCAATTTGATTTGCTATTTATTACTTATTTTTTTAATTGTATTGAAAATTTAATTAAAATGACAAATTATAATATTGTTTCCAAAAGACAAACACCAAAAAAACTGTGGGCTAAAGCGATAAGACGACAAAAATTGGCGAAATAACAATCTTTATATTTAAGGCTGTATAGACATCATTTTACAGAAAATTATTTAAAACTTAAATTGTCTACAGGTGAATATATATATATATATATATATATATATTGTTGCATTTTAACATATTAGTTACAGAATTTTATACAAACTTTCATCATCCATTTTATCCCCTTATGAGACTAAATTTCGAAAAATGCTAAAATACATACTTATTTAATTGTATTGAAGAGCATTAATACCAAGTTGCAAGTAATTCTGAACATAAATAATTCTTTGCCCATTGTAAGGGTCCTACTGGGACGTTAAATAAAAGGTGGGCTGTATAATTCGCTGGTTTATATTGCCGTTAATAAAATTCAGTTATAAGTATTTCGAGGCGGCCGTTAGCGGTGGGCTCCGTGTAGGCGAGTGCGGCCAAGCCGCCACAGCCCATCGTTGGCGCGTTGATCCCCACTCCCCACGACGTAAGACCGGTTCCCAACACCCATATAAACTTTATTATGCCCTTTTACCCCTTTAAGGGATAAATTATATTTCTTATTTTTGATCTTAAAGCTTTAGCGTTTGTGCTTACAACACTTTCTGTGTATTTCACATTAAGAATGACAGTTTCATACAATCTTTAATCCTCAATTTTACTCACTTAGGGGATGAATTTCGAAAAGCTTCTTTATAATCGGATGCCTACATCATAGGAATACGTCCTTAAAATTTCACCTACCTACGACCAGCGGCTTAGGCTTTATGTTGAACCATCAGCCAGTCAGACCCACCACAGGATTCACCTCTTCTTTTCAATTGTAGGATATATACGTTTAAATTAGACCGGTAGAAGGATCAGCTGGTCTAATTTCAACGTATAATACATTGCTCAGGTAAGATGGGAACAAAATAAAAGCAAAAAACTAGGTTTTAAAGACATATCACAATAAATTGCTTAACCTCATATTGAATGTAAACAGGCAATTCATGTGGCGCCCTCCTTTCGAAATATCTTTCCCATTGGTAAACAGGCAGGTGTGTCAGCACTCTGATTTATCTCTCTGTTATCTGTGGCTGACGGCTGTCAGACAGTCAGATTTTTGACTTTGACTTATGGCTGTCGCCTGTCAGTGCAGAGTGCAGTCCAGTTTGTGATTCGATATTTATTATTTACATGCGTTAATGAGTGCTAAGTTATTTAAGAGAATGTTTACGATTTTTTAAAAACATTATTTTGAATTTTACATCAATATTGACCGTTGCATGGTATATTTATTCCTTTCAAAAGAAATGTACAAAAAGTAACGGTAAGTTCTAAACTTAACAATATGTACAAATCTTTGTACATTGTAATAACTAAACAGTAAAAAAGCCACCTATTGTATTACTTATTTGTTTTATTAACTAAATGTTGTTAATTGATGTACATGATAAAAATATAGATTTATTAATATAACTTAGAACATCTTGCAGAGAATAAATTCACTAATCATCAAAGTAAATGGATAGCTAATTGTTATATTGCTAATCGCTTCGTAGTCTTATTTTGTTTGAAAAGTTACATTTGTTTTGAATATATTCTTATTGCAAATTAATAATTTATTTTCCTTTTATATTTTGCTTATTTAGAAAATCTTTTCAACTGATCATAAAATCAAGCCATAAACTACCTATATTGAAGGATAGTCATGTTTCTTGTTAAAAATGTCATATTTTGGCACTACGCATCCTGTTTGTGTTTACACACACACACACACACATATATATATATATATATATATATATATATATATATATATATATATATATATATACATACAATAATAACATTTAAAGGTGAAAATATATTGCATATTATAAAAAAAATCTTCCATATGAAATCATATAGATTTCAGTAACCTACTAATATTTTACGACATTCTTTAAATTTATAAAAAATATGGTGGTATGATATTTTACCTTGACATTTTCATTTACCTTGGTGGACTAGTACGTACTTAGACTACTACTTATTAATTTTTTATTTGCTTATGTCAACCATGTATGTATTGGTTCATAATTATTATAAATATATAGTCTCACTTATACTTATTTTACCTTATCATGTCATACTTTTTTTAGTAATGGGTGATTGTTGCTGCAAAGAAAAGGAACAGGATGAGACAAACTATGCGCCTACAACCACACCAGCTTTGTCTGCTATGATATTGGAACAACATCTGAAAATACCAAAAGTAGTTGATCCTAAGGTTATAGATCAACTTATCCTAGAAATGCTCACTGTGGCGGCATCACGGGTTGATACGTAAGTTGTTAATTATTTCATTCATTTTCATATTATTTTAAGCAGTGTAACCAATAAAAATAACTTTCATTTATCCACCATCTTTTCTTTCACTGGTTCTTTTTTTAGCTCATAATTATCCTGCAATCTGTGTGAATTCCTGTCTGATAAAATAAACAAGGTTTCAGGATATTTAATTACTTTTATCTATTATAGTTACTAAAAGTTTTTTGTTATAAAAATGCACTAAACACAATTTTTTTATTCTAAAAAAATAGGTGTTAATCTTCACTATGTTTTTTGTTCATATAACTATTTTATATAAATTTATAAAAAAACATCTGCATTGCAAAAGTTAACCATAATTTTCTCATAATAAGAATGCATTAATAATGTTTCATGTTTTAGATGATTATACATCAGCTTGTCAAGTGGCTAATGCCATATATGAAATAAAGCTATAAACAGTGTCTGGCTTGCTATTCATTATCTATACTTTTTTGACTTCATTCTTAAACTTCTTTACAAATAGGTGTAATTAATAAACAATGGAAAAAGAAATCTAAATTGATCCAATTGATTGCTTCAATTCAATTCTCTCATTAATGGCCTTAAAGTGTACCAATTGATTGCTTAGAACCTATGAGTCAATATTAAAGTTAATGTGTCACCATCCTTCTGTGTCAATATTTTAATATTAATTCTATGCTATGCGATTGTAATTGCTTACTGACTTTTTCTATGCTTTGTCGATGGAATTTTTTAAATGCTTACATTATATATTTATAGACAGAAGCGTAAACTTGTTCATACCCGTTTTACCTTGACTTTTTGAAGAATTATTTTTATTATATGTCTTGTTTTTACCACCCATGCATTATGTTAATCAGTATATGAGCCAAACCATTATTAATTGATAATCCTATTAATATTATAAATGTGGAAGTTTGATGGATGGATGTTTGTTGCTGAACAGATCTGGATAAAATTTAGCACAGAGATAGATTATAGTCTGGAATACCTCATAGGTTACTTTTTATCCCGGAAAAATGTACAGTTCCTGTGGGATACTTTTTTTTCATTAGGGACGAACCCAAGGGAGGCGGGGGTGAGTTGATAGTTTTACATAAACATCTGAATATGATTGAAACATCATATTATGCTTTATTAGGCATGCTCATTGATTAATAGAAGACTTCTTTATTCATAACGCGTGACAATTTCATTGTCAGGTTTTTTTTAATAGTATTTACAAATATCGTAATAAAAAACTGAATATTTATAAAATACAAGAGAATTGATTAATAAACAATCTAATTAAAAAAAAAATATTTACCATATATGTAATTGTGATTTTGACAAAAATATGGAAATCTTGAAGGGCATCCAAAAATTGCTTTTTTCAAATATGACATCAAATGTATAGTGAAATTGTGGTTTACTTGTGGTTATGACATGTTATACATAAATTTAGTCTTTATTTTTCTTATTATTATCTTCAAAATTTATCTTAACATCTTTATCTTTTTATTGTGTTTTAACTATTATAGTACATTTTTATTGAATGTGTTACTCTGTGCAGTTGTTATTTTTATAGCGTTTATATTGATTTCAGGGATGAGGAATCTCCGGTGTCACTCGTGAAGCTGCACGCGATTGCCGATAAAGAAGATGGTTGGATTCAGATGGTATCATCTATGGTGAATGTCATACCATTAGACGATCCCTTCGGACCCACTGCCATATCCATACTCTTAGATGATTGTCCTTTACCGTCCAGAGAATCAGTAATTAAAGTATGTATCAAATACGGCCATATTTGATATTTACAACATAAAGATTATTGTTTACGATTATTTACAAATGTAGTTTACAAAGAAGTAAAAATCGCTTGACTTATAATTTTTTTGTTATACTTAGAAATACTTGTTTCAAACCAACACAAGGTTGTCAGACACATCATCACATCAGTTGGAGGCTCCAACTGACAAAATTATTTATATAACAATAGATACAGAAGAAGAAAACAGAAATAGGTTATACTTGAAGCCTTTTTTTCTTATCTTCTTTTTAAAGAACTTTTCTAGCAATCTTTCATATCTTATCTTCTATCTTTGAGAACATTTTTGGATTATACAAAATATAGTCATTACAACATAGGAAAGAAGGACAAACTAGAGGGGGCCATATTTAATTTAATGTAAGATCACATAGCTTGTAACCAGCGAACGATCAAGACGCTTCCAACTAAAAATTAGGAGGGAACTGATGAACATACATACATACCGGTCAAAATTATAACCCTCCTTTTGATTCCTTGTAGTCAGGTAAAAATGTAGAATTAGTATTAGTGTAGGTTAGAAATGACTGCTAAAATCAGCCAACCAGCTACAGTATTGCATATAAAATCAAGGGTAAACACAACACGGGTTCTGCCTGGTGTGAATAATAAATGATCAAGGCTGTAAAAATGCCATAGCCTGACTTTTGATAAAATACGACTAAAGAAACGGAAGTTAGATAAAAAAATTGGAACTGCTTACAATTGAAATATTCTAATCGGAGATTGTTTTATTTACTTGTATATATGTCTCCTACTGCATAGTACTAATTTCCTTCGTTAACTTGTTTCTTTTTTTTAGATCGCTTTTCGCAGTCGGGTTTTTTATTTTTGTAATTTATTTGTTTATTTATAGCTTTTTAGTTTTGGCCAGTTAGACTTTTATTTAAAAATTTGTTATTTTAAAATTACATGTAAACATAATATACATTAGTACATATTTTTTTGATGATTGGGATGATTTTTTTTATTGAGATACAAATCGGTGCCTCTCCACAAATCCGAAATTTTGATTTTTAATAATATCCAATATCCATATAGCCTATAACACTTGTGATATCATGACGATTGAGATGATTTATAAATCATTAAAATCGGTAAAGCCATTTAGTAATTACGAGCGTACATTAGGTCGGCCATACATATATGCTACGCTGGATTTACATTAGGGGCACTCGGGGCTAGTGCCCAGGGCGGCAAATTTTTAAAGGTGACAAAATTCGGAGGATTAAATCCGGCATTGCACACATATATAATATCTGTATACTGCATACACGTATAACGCCATTACTTTCCGTTGGATTCCGCTGCAATCGGGTAATAAGACCTTGTACTCAATGATGTTCATGGCTCTTATCATAATAACACCTTGGTCGATTATGTGTATGTATAATGTGCATGAAGGAGGGCGAATATTAATTTTCATGATATTTGACAAAGAATTTTCATCAAAAGATCTTTGAAAATTAAAAAAAAACTTATTATAGTCTTTATTTGAAAAATCAATTTTATTTTTAAGTAAAAGAATTAAAAGATATTGCTGTATATTAAAAAGTTAAAAACAAATAAACATTTAGAAATTATTATAACTAATTATCATTTTGAGACCGTATCCACTATTTATGTTGTGGAGGATATTATGAATGCTGCACGACTTTTTTATTTCAGGTGACGCATCTGTTCAGATTGTCGGTAGAGCGCGCCACCATCGGCGATGTGAATGTACGCGTGGAAAGAAACCTTTGTGTGGCTTTGGGTTGCATTGCCGAAAAACTTGTAGGTCCCAACAGTGTAGCAATATTGACTAACAATACACTCGAATATTTACTCACTTTCCTGGTAAGTCTTCTTGTATCCTACAAATTCATAGTAATAAGTTACTGCGTTATATGGTTTTAGTATTGTTTCTATTAATAGTTGCCAAAAAAATTACTTAAAACTAAAATCACAATTTTCTTTCAGAAACCCCACTGTGAGCCTTGCATAGTTTTGTTTGCACTCATAGCTTTAGAAAAATTTGCTCATACGACAGAGAATAAATTAACTATAAAGAATCGTCTGGAACAATTAGAAGAGCACCCTTTGTTGGAGTTAGAAAAGTATGCCAACAGTGATGATTGTATGTGGCGGCAAGTCGGCTTCTGTGCCACTTGGGCTTTAGATAATCTTTGTAAGTATTGTTTTGTTTTATTTAGCAAAAGTGTAACTCCTTAGACACAAATAATTTACGTAATAAAAAATAAGAAAAGCCTAATTCCAAAATGATAATTACACAGATTAGATGTTATGGCAGTGAGAGTTGGTTTAATTTCTCTGACAATTCTCGATTTTTTTTTATTATTCCGCAACGATAGTTATGTAAAACGTTTTCGGTTTAATTTATGAAATTTGTGCCAGTTACCGACAAATTACTGCTACTTGAATTCTATTAGCATTAAGGATGCATTATATTATCTGCTTGAAGATTATCGAACTGAGAACGGACTGTCTGCCTGTGATTGGTTAATATTGATTATCTTAAAGGGTCGAAGTTTTGAAAAGGAAATAATTTGGAGCTACAAAACAATATATACTATGTATAACTATTTAGTTGAAACAGATGTTACAAAATATAAAATGCGAAACCTTTTCTAAGCAACTATAACAATGATTTTAAAATGTAAATTGTAGCCATTTTTTTCTCTATATCATGCAATAGTTATCGTCGATGGCAGAAAGCTGTCTTACGAAACGGTAGACATGACTGGAATAAATGCGTTGCTAAATTCTCACGACGTTAGTGAATATTTGCAAATATCGTGCAACGGCTTGGAGGCGAGATGCGACTCGTATTCATTTGAGAGTGTAAGATGCACTTTCCAAGTGGATGAGGGTTGTTGGTACTACGAGTCTATAATAGTAACGCCCGGTGTGATGCAAATTGGCTGGGCAACTAAGAATAGTCACTTCCTTAACGACGTATGTATACTTTGTTATAATACTTTCTTAGATTTACTCTTATATTTTGAACTAGCGACTTACCCTTGCTTTAATCGGGTGTGTTACTAGAGCCACCTTTTGGCTGTTATTACTATGTGTTATCCTAGGTCATGCTTTATCTGTTTACTTAATTTCACCTAAATCTGTCCAGCCGTTTCAATGTGTGTCTCTCAAGTACAAACACACGCACTCACACACGTACAAACACACGCACTAACACGTACAAACACACGCGCACACAAACACAAAACTTTCGCATTTATTATGAGGTATTATTTTTTATTGTTCTTAAATGATATACAGAAATTTACATACAATAAAATTAGTTTGTAAAGGTGGACTAATATTAGTAGTGATTTTTAAAGGTCACATGCACACAGCTTTAGCTTGTAAGCTAATAATACTGTATTTGTAACTTAAACATACTTTCAGACTTTAAAATAACCTTTCCAAAGAAATATTTTTAGATCGGTATTTAGCCTATTTATTAAAATAGAATTATAAACATAAATTTACAATAAGCTATCATATCGCGTATCATAATTAATAAAAAAAATATATTTCTTGAACGTTTTTCAAGTAGGTTGAAACTTTTCATTATAGATCAAAGTATAAAACATGCACAGACCATGATATACTTACGTTGAGGTTTCTATTCTACATTATCATATATGAAACGTATTTTATTTATAAGTGGTTTAAAAAGTATATTATTTTTTAAATTATAACTAAAATAAAATCAAAATTATGATAACTTCAATTGGACCCCCGTTTTTTAATCGGTAGTTAAAACCAAATTATATATATATAATGTAGTTCATATGTTTACCATTATTTTAAATAATTTAGTTCTCTGAATAATTTAATTTCTCTAACTCCCATTCGCTAATTTATTCATCAGAAATTAATTAAGCCATCTATCTATACATATAATAAGATTGTAACTAAGCCGGATTTGTTCAAAAATATTTTTTGGAAAATCTTATTGAAATCTAATTGACATTATTATCGATACAGAGGCCGCACCTATAGTTGTTAGTATTTTTGTTTCTATCTGTCTGCCTGTGACCGCATTACGGAAAAACCACTGGAGGGATTTTGATGAAATTTGGGTATGTTGATAGCTGGTTATCCGGGTCGACATATAAGATCTTTTTACTGCAGAAAAATATCTCGTCTCTCAGAAATCTATACTAAACGTTAAAACGTAACTAGGGACGAACCCAAGCGAAGCGAGAGTGAGTTGCTAGTACAAAATAAAGGACATCGATTTTTTACTACTGAATCGTATTCTTTGTATACAACCAGAATACTTTTACAAGCGTCAAGTGTTGTGTTTTGTATACTCTGTTTTTCTTAATATTTTAGCCCTTACCTCGTTACTCTGAACTCTAGAAATAACGTTTATTATGTCCACAGGAAGGTTATGGTATAGGCGATGATCTGTATTCACTATCGTACGATGGTTGTCGTAAGCTCGTGTGGTACAATGCGAAGCCGACACCAGTCGCCAATGTGCCGGCTTGGCGTCCTGGCGACATTCTTGGATGTCTTATAGATCTCAATACTAAAGAATTAATATTCTCACTGAATGGTCACCGGTTGCCGCCATGTCGAGACATATTCGAAACAACAAGGTAATTAATGTTTCTTTTTTTAATGGTGCTCAGTAATAAACGAGCAGACAGCCCACCTGATGAAAAGTGGTTCTTGTACAACCTAAGATTCATGCACTTAGGTTTTATATAAAAAAAATTTAGAACTGCAGGTGCGTTGTAATTGCGCTGGTAACCTTTTCCTTCAAAAGGTAGTACTCAACCAATCGGATTTCCCAGGCTTGATAGAGTCCTACCACTGGTACAGATATCTTTTACTGGCTGGTAGCTTTTAACAAGTTCTACATTGACATAAAACACCCTAGAGGCACGGTTCCTAAACATACGTATATTTCTTCAAAAAGTGGCGTCGAAATGTGACTTTAAGTCAAACTAAAGAATAATACCCCAAAAATCCTTAGTTCCAATTGTTTAAATACAAATTTAAACTTACGCACGTCAAATAAAGTTTTTTTTAAACAAAACCATGTGAGATACGGTTGTTTAGTTTGTGTTCTGAAAAACAATGATTTTCGGGAGTAAAAGATACTAACCAAATATTGAAAATCAAAAATGAAAATAAATCCGCGAAAAAATCCGAAAAGATAGTTTTATTTAAAATAATTTAACATTATTTTAGGTATGGTTTCTTTGCCGCGGCAAGTTTCATGGCCTACCAACAATGTCGTTTCAATTTCGGCAATAGGCCATTCAAATTTCCGCCTGCTGATAGAGAATTTAGCACTTTCAACGACCACGGAGTATTAACTGAGGAACAAAAAAAGGTTGGTTTAGTTTTCTAAGAATTATTTTAACAGCATTATTTATCCCCATTTTGTGTACACGACAAACATAAGTTAACTAACTCCTTATTTCTCTTCGCCGAATTGTTTCTCCGCGTCATAATCTATCTGTTTTCTAAGTTTTACCTCAATCCGTCCAGCCATTTAACCGTGAGTGAGCAACAAACATACACACGTACATATTTATTAAAGATATTAGTCTGATAATAATTTCACACTGTCAAATTAATTTGATGATGGAGCTAGCTCACACTCTTCATGAGTACTAATTAAATCATAGAATGTGAACATACCTCTTTTGTTTTATCGAGTCCCATAAATAATAAAAATAAATAAATATCTTATTACATTAACACACAGCCCCATCTAGTTCCATGGTAAGCTAAGAGGCTTGTGTTATAGATACCAGATAGTTGATACACTACACATATATAACTTTAAATACATACATATTATAAATATAAACACCCATGACTGGAGTACAAACATTCGTGCTCATCACACAAATGAATGCCCCCAGCGGGATTCGTATCCGCGACCGCTGACAGCAAGTGGCGTTACTACAAACTAAGTCAGACGTGTCGTCATGTATAACAGTTAGTTATAAATTTGTATTTTTTATTGGCTATATTTATATTAAAATTTGTTTTGTATTGTTTTTTTCTTATTAACTGTAATTAATGATAATATATCAAGTGGATTATTAATAATATATCAAGTAGGATAAGCTGAAGGAGGCCTACGTCAAAAGACGATAAGACTATCGATGAAGAGCAATTAGTTATAAGAACTCTTTTACCCGTCAGTGAATTAACGTTACCTTTACATATTTTTTTATATATTTATAAAAAAATATTAAAAAAGGCTCGCTTGGGAAACCGAGTAAAGCGTGTTCCAATCCCGGGTTGCGCAACTATAATATTTTCATGTGCGAATCATTTCTAACATGATTACCATTCGCCTTATAGTGAAGGAAAACATCGTGATTATACCTGCATGTCTGAGAGAACTTAGCAAGTTTTCGAAAGACGTGTGAAGTCCGCCAACCGGCATTTGGCCAGCGTGGTGGACTATGGCCTGATCCCCCTCGTATAAAAGGGAAGCCCGTGCCCAGCAGTGGGACGATAAAAAAAGGGCTGAATAGATAGATTATATATTTTTTTATTAGTAATATTATAATAATAATAGTTTAAAAGAAATACACGTAATGCTTGCAGGTGATACCTCGCAGGATATATTTAGAACAGTTGAGATGCTCGAGCGTGAAGGAAGACTCTTGCACGTTATGCTTCGATGACTCGCCTTGCTGCATTCTGGAACCTTGTGGACATCGGTATGTTGTAAATTTAATTTTTGTATAGTATTATTGGTCGTAGGACATCGACGTCTATTCAATATACATAAGTATTTTATTGTATTGTTTGTTTGTGTGTTGCGTTAATACAAAAATAGTGAATGGCATTACAAGAACATTCTACATACTCACGTTAAAATATGTGTATACCTATAAAAAAGCAATCGAAGACTATAAAACTCGGGAAAGTAGGTTATATTCTATTAAAAAAAGAAATTTTAGTATCAGGTTAGTCGTTTTTATATTAAAACTCTTAAACTGTGCCTAATTAATATAAAGTGCAAATATATAATATAAAATTAAATATCTGTTTGTACAACGAAAATATATTTAAAATGTCTCAACATGTAAATAGAGTTTTTAAACCAAAAATAGCCAGATCCAATCCTGCCGTTATAAAGAAGAAGGCCGCAACTTCGTCAAAGTCGATCTCGAGATATTTGAAGTTTTGTCTTAGTACTCAGTAATAGTTTGTACTTAGTTACAATGAAAATGGTTATGGTATCACCGGATTCATAAGACTTAGGAGCTTCTAGTATGACTATCAAGTAGCATTTTTCATTTGCTTATTCCGAATCTGCATTTAAGCCATTTTTGACCAAATTGTTAGTTCGGGTCTTCTTTATTATGACGGCAGAATTGAAATTATTCTTAAAATGCTATAGTTCTTATATTAAGATAAAATAAAAAATTTAGTACCATTAAAACAGTGTTTCAAGTGTTTCCGTGTGTTTTCCGTCTGGAAACGCATCATGAGAAAACCACTGGACAGATTTTGATGAAATTTGCTATGATGATATGTAGCTGGTTATCTGGGTTAACATATAGGATACTTTTTACTGCTGAAAAATATCTCATCTCTGAGAAATCTATACTAACCGTTAAAAAGTTCCTTTGGATGAACGCGAGTCGAGCAAGGGTCAGTCGCTAGTATACTATATAGAGAAAAAATGATTTTTAGTACATTTCTTTATTACATGTAATATTTATTCTCCGTAATAAATCCTAATTTATTTTATTTATTTATATACATGTCTTTATTTGCAGCGGTTTCTGTTCTCTATGCACGTCCCAACTGAAGGAATGTCCAATGTGCAGAGCGAACATACTCAATGTGAAGAAGGAAAATACTTGACGCGTCGGTCGATACAAATATGTATACCACAGACAAAAAGTCCCTTTTCGTCCCGCTTATCTCACCGTCTCTATTGCAAGTATTAGAAAATTTAAACCAAAAGATAACAGAATACGCGATAGTACTCCATTGGACAGGATACTATAATTTCCTCTGATCGTTTTAGGATTTTCATTATGTTATATACTTCACCCTTAAATGAAACACACTTACTTCAGTTTTATATGCAATTGTGTACCTTTAAAGAACTAGTTGTCCTCTGTTATTTGGACAGTATAAGTTCCATTTAGTCGTGTCACCATTCCTAATAACCTCACTTCTATTTTATTCCTAATAACTATTATAATTATTCTTCAATTCCTTATAACACACAATATTAGGTATATCGCAAACTTCATACACGGTTCAGAAAAAATAATATTATTTCTGATTCTCGAATAAACAAAAGCATCAATCAGATCTTTATTAGTATTACACGAAATGCATTTACATAATATTATGATTTAAGATGTCACAACTATAGATTATTGTTAAATACGAGCAGAAATAATTTTGGATACTATGCATTTAATATATAATTATTTAAATTGTAAGTATGTTACGCTTTACAAGACTTTTATTTACTATATGTAGTATGACCACTAGACCTGTGCCGCTTGGGTACACTACATAAGTCGTAGTTTAAATGGTATTGATTTCCAATATTTTTTATATCTGTATCTATTTATATTTATATCTATGACGACACGTCTGGCTTAGTTTGTAGTAACGCTACTTGCTGTGCCAGCGGTCGCGGGTTCGAGTCCCGCTGGGGACATTCATTTTTGTGATGAGCACAAATGTTTCTACTCCCCAGTCATAGGTTTATATTTATAATATGTATGTATTTAAAGTTATATATGTGTAGTGTATCAACTACCTTTTTTTTAACGTTGGGAAATGCATTTACGCACGAGGTGTGGGACTCACCGGCAAAGCCAGTACTACCCACTAAAACCCAACAAAGCCTTCCCCCGTCTTAATGGGGCGTCGCAGGATCACTTACGCATTCAACTACGACGCCCCGACGGCAGGTCTGCCGAAGCAGACCACCACAACCATGGGGTGCTCCAAGCTCCACTCTGCTATCAGAGAAGTACCAGGAGCAACCCGCATGGTACACCGCCCCCCGAAGAGGGCCACCTCCCACCGCCCACCGAAGTGGGCAACCTCCCTGTACGTTTCTTGGCTTCGCGCCCGAATATATTGCCGGGCACTACTGAGCCCCCCCACCACGACAAGGTGAACGCACGTTGAGGGGGAGTGTATCAACTACCTAGTATCCAAAACACAAGCCTCGTAGCTTACCATGGAACTAGATGGTGCTGTGTGTTAATGTCCCAAAATATTTATTGTATTTATAAAGTAAGATAAGATTATATTTATTTATTATTCATTGTTTTATTGTTTTACTATTGCAAAAATATTAGGTCACATTAAAGATGAACGGCTGGTTGAAGTTTATGCCTAAGATAAGGTATAGCGCTAGCGGTCATATTGTTAAAATAGTATTATTTAAAATAGTATTAAAATCCATTAATTAAGTTGTATTTAACATTTCATTCAATCACTTCATAATTTTTTTCGTACTATTTAATAGCTATATTTTTCAAAATACACGTATACTTGTAAATGTATGATTGTCAGAAAATCAACCCAATTTTGAAGATATCTTTATTAATTGGTTAATTTTTATATTTATTGTGCATTTTACATTGATAATCTTAAATTATTAGTTTTATGTCATCACAATTCTTTCGTTTTCATCGATAAGCTTTTACTTCATGTATGATACTGCAGCACAGATTGTATAATTATTATATATATACATTATGCACACTAAACTTATTTTGTGTATCATAATTTAATGGATATCTTTATTTTTTTCTTCAACACTAATAAAAATAATAATAGAAAATCTATTTTGCTATAAGTCAAACATATTTGATATATTTATGCATCTTTAGATTGTTTTGATTTGATGGTCAAATTAAATTGAAATCATGTTTGATTCTAACCTATATATTCAATTTATTTTTTAAAGATTAATATTTTTAGTAAAATTTCAACTACATTATTACAATAGTGGCAACATAATAAATATATTTTTGATACTTTAATTTCCCATAAAGAAAAGAATTTTTAACCGTACTAAATACATTTTGTGCGTACGTTTGGTCGTAAGGTTTTAATATTTCAGTATTTTATGGCATCACATAAGACACGTTATATTTAGTATAGCTTATCAGATAATTTTGATTTCTTACCGATTTTAAATAGTTAAATAAAAAAATTAGATAAAATTAATTCAATTAATGTGCTATATCAATGCTGAAATGAATTTAAACTGCTATTTCATTCAGCGTGGTTAGTGCATTACCACTTTGTTCGGTAATCTTAATAATTATGCCAAATCCCACAATTTTTGTTGCTTTCACTGACTTTCTATGGTAGATAAAGGAGGGAGTGATTCGCAATTTTTTTTTTAAAAGTTGTCGCTTGAATATTTATCGACAGTAATTTTAGGTGAATTAGAATATAATATATTTAAAGTATAACAATTTTGTTATAGCTATGTCTGGTCTGATCTAGTTACAACTTTAATTTAAAAAAAAACTCCAAATTTAGATGTCCTAATAAATTCATTCATATAGTTAAAATAATATATTTTTTGCAAGCATTGCTTTCTTAACGACTTGTTGCTTTCCAATTTCTATCGACTTTTAACGTTATATATGCTATATTTACATGAAGTTTTTTAAGTAAGTTATTTTGAATCCAAAGCTCTTATGTAAAAAAAATTAGTATTTATGCCAAAAATGCCTGAAAATGAGATCTACCATTATATTGTGACTTCCACGTGCTCTATTTTAATATTTTTAGCTTTAAATTCGCATTTTCTGTAACAGATTATACATTAATCTTGATATCCGTCTATAGAATACTATAATATATAAAAAAAACTTAAAACTTTGTGTAACGTAAATGTGGAAAAATAATCCAAATGCCTTCATAACCTCGATCTTGGTACATTTTTTACCTTTTAACTATAAATCCATGTTGGCAAATCAAAAAGTATAACTAATACTTCTGGACATAATGTTGTAGTTTTCTAAAGCCGGATTCACACTGCAGTGTCTGTAGTTATACAAATAACTGTAATTTAGATTTAAGATTTATATTTTTTTTATAAAATGTTACTGAAGCATATTTATAGTATTAACTTCAATATATATTTACATTAAAAAGTCTTCTGATAGTAAAACGTACAGGGTATAGAAAAATCCTTATTGCCCCAACATCCTAAAATGGTTTCAGGTCACGACTTCACTTTATACGCTTTTAGGTCTTAAATAGCGTCTAGGATCTTTTGCCTTAAGAATTATTAGTAAAGTATCAACTTCATCACAAATACGATGACATCGAACTTTAATATAAATGATACTTCGAATTAAATATCGCATATCATATTATGAATGCTAAAAAATACAAAATTACCAAAACCCGACTGCGTAAAAAGCAAACTAAAAAGATGAGAACAAGTTGACGAAGGAACATAGATAGTATTATGCAGTCGGAGACATTCACACACGCAGTTATTATAAAACTGTACGTACAATCGTAGGTATGTCGCTGACTGCATAATACTATGTTCCTTCTTCAACTGGTTCTCATCTTTTTTATTCGCTTTTTACGCAGTCAGTTTTTTTATTTATGTATTATTTTTCGTTTACAGCATTGTAATTTTGATCAGTTAGACATTTTTAATTTTATTTAACAAATTCTTATCCTAAATTACTTTTTAATCTTTGTGATCGTCTATTACAAACCTGTTTTTTGATACCCCACTCAATTGATCTGAACGAAAAACATTTTTCAAGACACAAAATAGGCGAAAAAAACATAACACTTCTTTATGATTTATCGCAGTCGGGTAAAAAATGTTTTAGCGGATACAATTTAAAGCAAACATGACATAAAATAGGTATAGATTTACTAGACTTATATTCTATATAAATTATTTTTTGATATCAAAAATAGTAAACTGTATGGGCGTACCGACTTCTTGCTTGATGCTGACCCCTTATTTGCAGAGACAGTTACTTCACAAGTAAAACTTATTTTTGCGATAAAAAGATCACATGTTTATAGTATTATGTACTGTAGCGTAATAGTAGTACCTACTACTTTTTTTTAGAGCATTCCCTATAAGCATCCCCAAAAGTTATTTTCAAACTAGGCCCAACTGCACTAAAATAAAACTAGTTATTAAAATGTAATGGCAGTTCAATAGTGGCACGGTCACTACATGCATTTTCTCTTTGAATCTCTATGCCGAGTCTTGTATAGGTCCCTCATATGTTGCCAGTGTATGAGATAAAACGAAATGTTACGTCGTATGCTGTAGAAAATATTATCTCTCAATTTTAGGCGTTTATTGATTTATTGTAAACTAGCGACTCACCCTCGCTCCGCTCGGGTTCATCCCTAAGTATGTTTCAGCGGTTAGTATAGATTTCTCAGAGATGAGATACTTTCCTGCAGTAAAAAGTATGCTATATGTTGACCCGGATAACCAGCTATCATCATACCAAATTTCATCAAAATCTATCCAGTGTTTTTTTGTGATGCGTTCCCAGACAGATAAACAAAAATTCAAAAAGCGGCCTGTGTACCGATAATAATGACTACAATGACTATTTCAATAAGATTTTACAAAAAAATATTTAATGTACAGATTCGACTCAGGATTTTATTATATGTATAGATTAACAAAATTGTTATTATGTAGAAATGAAACAAATATAAACATAAACACAGTCTAAGGATCTAAACAGTATGTCTATTCAATGTTAAATCTTGTCTATATTTAATTAATGTAAAATACATTAATTATTACTAATATAATAATGTAAAATATTAGAGATGACACTTAGTAATCGACGTTTTGTTTTAGA